TAAAATGATGTATCACATGCCATTGAAACCTATATTTTTTTTTGTGCTCGAGACGTAAACAAAAAAATTCCTTTTTTATTTATTAGGCCCGAGCCCCGAACGGGGTAAGGGCCTATTGCTTTCACAATGGTGAAAACAAATGGTGGCGGTGCGTGACGGACGCGTCAGCGCCCGTCACTCACCAAAATGTGACAGTTGCGTGCGTAAACTCAAAAGCTTTAAAATGATGTATCACATGCCATTGAAACCTATATTGTTTTTGCTCGAGACGTTAAAAAAAAAATTCCTTTTTTTATTTATTTCTTTCTTTCTTTCTTTTTTCTTCTGCACTTTGAGCCTTAATTTGACCCCCTGAACATGCATGAAAAGTTGTTAATTTTGGCCCAAAAATCAGACCTGGCGAAAAATTTGATATTTTGGTGTTTATTTTTATGGGACTCAAAAAATGCCCAGAACAGCGCCACTACAACAGCCAAAATAATACCCCTATGGGACTTTTTGGAGGTCAAGTTTGTCGTAGAAACATGAGATTTGGTACACATGTTCCTTGAGTCAAGACATGAAAAAAATATTATTATGGCTCCGCCCTCTGACAAACAGGAAGCCCATAAATTTCACTGCAAAATGGAAAAATGAACAGCAAAAGTTTTCATACATGTCGGTTGGAAAGCGACTCCTCCTCGGCCGTTTCACCGATTCGCCTCAAAATCGCTCCACATCATCTCAACACATGTACCTTCAAAATGACCTCAGGGAATTTTTGATCATGAAACATTGTCTTGAGCAGCGGAGCGGCAAAATGTGACCTTTTTTTGGCCGTTTTTGACAACATTAATTTGCTCCCGTTTGCACAACAAAGTTGATTGCCCCACAAAACTTTTATTACAACAAGGGTCTTGGTTCATTTGAAAGTTAAATGATTCAAATTGACACATTAGCGCCCCCTACAGACTATTTCAAAGTTTTAGATGGCATTTTCAAATTTAGTTTTTTTCAAAACGTTTGAAATTTTGCACATAAATCTGTTTTTGCACTCTGATTCAAAAAGTCCATAGGGTCCCAAGGCTTATTTTTTACCCTGTTGCCGTGGCGACGACAACGCTCCAGATTCATTGCAAATGTACACCTCACACAAACATCAAATAGCCTCGGCCGTTTCACGATTCACCTAAAAATCGCTCCACATATCTCAACACATGTACCGTCATCAAATGACCTCAGGGATTTATGGATCAGTGAAACGTTGTTTGAGCAGCAGAGCGCGAAATAGTGGCGTAATTTTTTTTCCGAGTTTTTGACAATAGAAAAATTGTTTCCGTTTGGACAAACAAAGTGTGATTTGCACAAAACATAAATCCATGGTTCAACTCTTGGGTCTAGGTCATTTGAAAGTTAAATTTGAAATTGGCTCTATAGCGCCACCTACAACAGCTGATGTTAAAATGGCACTATGGGAGGGGTTCGAGGTTCAAAATTGTCATAGAAACCATGTAATTTGGATAACAAGTCCTCAAGTCAGGACTTGAACTTGTTTTATTATGCTAAGCCCCTGACAAACAGAACAGCATAATTTCACTGCAAAATGGAAAAATGAAAAATAATCATTTTCATACATTCGTGTGGAAAGCGACTCTCTCCTCGGCGTTTCACCGATTGGCCTCAAACTTTGGTTCCAAATCATTCTCTACACATTTACCTTCAAAATGACTTAAGGGAATTTTGATCAGTGAACCATTGTTTGAGACAGCGACGCCGCAATATGTGAGGGTTTTTTTTCGGCCGTTTTGACAACATTAATTTGTCCCGTTTGCACAAACAAAGTTGATTTGATTAACTTGTATCCATTGTTCAAACTCCAGGGTTTAGGTCAGGTGAAAGTGAAATATTTGAAACTTGTGTTTTTTTTTGACCATTAGCGCCCCCTAAAGGATGAAGTCAAAGTTTACGATCGGGAGCCAAACAGCTCTACTTATCATATTCATTCAAATTTGCACTAACAATCTTCTATGACTACGGGAACAAATCATCACACGGCGGCGCCACCTCCTTTGAGCGGTGCTGCGTACGGTACGGCTGTGGTGCGGGTAGTGCGGGGCGTTGTGGAGCGGCGGTTGCGGCTTGGAACGGGACGGCGTGGTGCGGGACGGCGTGGTGCGGGACGGCGTGGTGCGGGACAGGCGTGGTGCGGGACGGCGTGGTGGGGGGCGTGGGTGCAGGGCAGAGGTGCGCGGCCGGTGCAGGGAGTCGCGCGGTGCGGCGAGAGGCCGTTCGACGCCGCTTGCGGCTTTAATTAGGCCGAGCCTCGAACGGGGTAAGGGCCTATTGCTTTCACACTGGTGAAAAAAATGGTGGCGGTTTAGGGCGTGACGGACGCGTCATGCGGCACAGTTGGTGCGTAAACTCAAAAAGCTTTAATGATGTATCACATGCCATTGAAACTATATTGTTTTTGCTCGAGACGGTTAGGCCGAGCCCCGCGGTGCTCTCACGTGAAACACAAATGGGTGGCGGTGCCGTCGACGGACGCGTCAGCGCCCGTCACTCACCAAAACGTGACGGTTGCGTGCGTAAACTCAAAAACACTTTAAAAATGATGTATCACGTGCCATTGAAACCTATATTGTTTTTGCTCGAGACGTCGAAAAAAAAATTCCTTTTTTATTTCTTTCTTTCTTTTTTCTTCTGCACTTTGAGCTTAATTTGACCCCCTGAACATGCATGAAAAGTTGTTAAATTTTGCCCCAAAAATCAGACCTGGCGAAAAATTTGATATTTTGGTGTTTATTTTATATGGGACTCAAAAAATGCCAGAACAGCGCCACCTACAACAGCCAAAATAATACCCTATGGGGAGTTCTGAGGATCAAGTTTGTTGTAGTCGTCATGAAATTCGGTACACATGTTCCGCAAGTCAAGACAAGAAAAAAATATTATTATGCTCCGCCCTCTGACAAACAGGAAGCCCATAAATTTCACTGCAAAAATGGAAAAATGAACAGCAAAAGTTTTCATACATGTCGGTTGGAAAGCGACTCTCCCTCGGCCGTTTCACCGATTCGCCTCAAAATCGCTCCACATCATCTCAACACATGTTACCTTCAAAATGACCTCAGGGATTTTTGATCAGTGAAACATTAGTTTGAGCAGCGGAGCGGCAAATTTTTTTTACCCTGTTGCCGTGGCGACGAGAAACGCTCCCCATTCATTGCAAATGTACACCTCACACAAACATCAAACCAGCCTCGGCTGTTTCACCGATTCGCCTCAAAATCGCTCCACATCATCATCTCAACACATGTACCTTCAAAATGACTTCAGGGAATTTTGATCCGTGAAACGCTGTTTGAGCAGCGGAGCGGCAAAAATGTAAGTTTTTTTTGGCTCTTTTTGACAACATTAATTTTGCTCCTGTTTGCACAAACAAAGTCTGATTTGCACAAAACTTTCATCCATTGTTCAATTCCAGGGTTTAGGTCAGGTTAAAGTGAAATATTGGAAATAGGCCCCTTAGAGCCCCCTACAGACTGTGTCAAAGTTTACATAGGGAGCCAACCAGCTCTACTTATCATATTCATTACAATTTGACTAACAATCTTCTATGCGCTACGGAAACAAATAATCACACGGCGGTGCCACCTCCTTTTAGCGGTGCTGCGTCTGGTACGGTGTGGTGCGGCGTAGTGCGGCGTAGCGTGCGGAGCGGCGCGTTGTGGACTTGGTGGGGGCGGCGTGGTGCGGGGAGTGCGCGCGGTGCAGGGAGTTGCGCGGTGCGGCGAGGGCCGTTCGACGCCGCTTGCGGCTTTAATTATACTTGTTCTAGCCCAGGAAAACCTGGGAAAGAACAAGTTTGCTGTTGTTTGATGTCATATTTGACCCACTGAACATGCACGAAAACTTACAAAATTTTGCCACAAGTTCTGTTCTTGCAAAAACTTTATTAATTTTGTATTCCCTAGTAAGAGACTTCAAATTTGAAGTTGTAGGGGGCGCAATTGTAGTCTAATAAAGCCACCATTTGCACATACAAAGTCCGATTTGCACCAAATTTGAATTGGTTGTTCAACTTTTGGGTTTGGGTAAACTGAAAGTGTAAAACATCAAATTGAGGCATTAGCGCCCCCTACAGAATGTCATTTTCACACATGTTGGTTGGAAAGCGACTTCTCCTCGGCCTTTTCACTGATTTGCCTTAAAATCGCTCCACATCGTCTAAACACATGTACCATCATTTTGATTTCAGCGATTTTTGATCAGTGAAACGTTGTTTGAGCAGCGAAGCGCCAAAAAGTGGCGTTTTTTTTTTTAGTTTTTGACTATAGAAAAAGTACTTCCGTTTACTCAAACAAAGTCCGATTTGCACAAAACTTGTTTTCATGGTTAAACTCTAGGGTGTAGGTCATTTGAAAGTGAAATAATTAAAATGCCAGAACAGCGCCCCCTACAACAGCCAATTTAATACTCCTATGAGAGTTTTGGAGTTCAAGTTTGCCGTAGAGCCATGAAATTTGGTACACATATTCCTCAAGGTAAGACATGAAAAAAATGTTATTATGGCCCCGCCCTCTGACTGACAGGGAGCCCATAAATTTCACTGTAAAATGGATAAACGAACAGCAATAATTTTCACACATGTCGTTTGGGAAGCGACTCTCCTCCTCGGCCGTTTTACAGATTCGCCTGAAAATTGTTCCACATCATTTCAACACATTTACCTTCAAAATGACTTCAGGGAATTTTCATCAGGGAAACGATGTTCGAGCAGTGGAGTGGCAAATAGTGACCTTTTTTGACGATAGAAAAATAGCTCTCGTTTGCACAAACAAAGTTTGATTTGTACTAAACTTGACCCGGTTGTTCTACTCCTGGGCCTGGGTCACCTGAAGGTGTAAAATATTTCATTGGCTCTTTAGCGCCCCCTACATACCAAGCTAAAGCTTTACATGGGGAGCCAAACCAACGGATCAATATCACATACATTGGTCTATGGCTATGGTAGCAAATCATGGCGCGGCGCGGCGAGTCACGCGGGGAGTCACGCGGGGAGTCACGGGGAGGGGAATTGCGGGTTGCGGCGAGTTGCGCGGTGCGGGGAGTCGTAGTGCTGCGGGGAGTCGTAGCGGAGCGGAGAGTCGTAGAAGCGCGCGGTGCAGGGAGTCGTAGCGGAGCGGGGAGTCGTAGCGGCGCGGGGAGTCGTAGCGGAGCGGAGAGTCGTAGAAGCGCGCGGTGCAGGGAGTCGTAGCGGAGCGGGGAGTCGTAGCGGCGCGCGGTGCGGGGAGTCGTAGCGGTGCGGGGAGTCGTAGCGGTGCGCAGTGCGGGGAGTCGTAGCGGAGCGCGGTGCAGGGAGTCGTAGCGGAGCGGGGAGTTGTAGCGGTGCGCAGTGCGGGGAGTCGTAGCGGAGCGCGGTGCAGGGAGTCGTAGCGGAGCGGGGAGTCGTAGCGGAGCGGCAAGGCGCGTGGTGCAGGGTGTCGCACGGTGTGGCGAGGGCCGTTCGACGCCGCTTGCGGCTTTAATTTATTTATTTATTTTTTCTTCTGCACTTTGAGCCTTAATTTGACCCCCTGAACATGCATGAAAAGTTGTTAATTTTGGCCCAAAAATCAGACCTGGTGAAAAATTTGATATTTTGGTGTTTAGTTTTATGGGACTCAAAAAACGCCAGAACAGCGCCACCTACAACAGCCAAAATAATACCCCTATGGGAGTTTTCAGAGGTCAAGTTTGTCGTAGAAACATGAGATTTGGTACACATGTTCCTCAAGTCAAGACATGGAAGATTTTTATTATGGCTCCGCCCTCTGACAAACAGGAAGCCCATACATTTTATTGCAAAATGGAAAAATGAAAACCAATCATTCTCATACATGTTGGTTGGAAAGCGACTCCTCCTCGGCCGTTTCACCGATTGGCCTCAAAATTGCTCCACATCATCTCAACACATGTACCTTCAAAATGACCTCAGGGATTTTTGATCAGTAAAACATTGTTTGAGCAGCGGAGCACCAAAAAGTGGCGTATTTTTTCAGTTTTTGACAATAGAAAAATTGTTTCCGTTTGCACAAACAAAGTCTGATTTGCACAAAACTTGAATCCATGGTTCAACTCTAGGGTCTAGGTCATTTGAAAGTTACAATTTTGAAATTGGCTCTATAGCGCCACCTACAACTGCCAATTTAAAAATGTCTATGGGAGGGGTTCGAGGTCAAAATTGTCATAGAACCATGTAATTTGGTAGACATGTTCCTCAAGTCAAAACATGAAAATTGTTTTATTATGGCTAAGCCCTCTGACAAACAGGAAGCCCATAAATTTCATTACAAAATGGAAAAATGAAAACCAATCATTTTCATACACGTCGGTTGGAAAGCGACTCCTCCTTGGCCGTTTCACCGATTGGCCTCAAAATTGCTCCAAATTATCTCAACACATTTACCTTCAAAATGATTTAGGGAATTTTGATCAGTGAAACGTTGTTTGAGCAGACGAGCGGCAAAGCATAATTTACTTTAGAATGTTCAGGAAACTGCAGCGAGTCCTGACTGTCTCTGAAACAGTCGTTTTGTGTTTTACAATTGGTATTTTTTTATCTATTTTTCTGCCTGAGATGTTACGTGAAGGATTCATTCATCAAAAATTCAGAGCACCTATTTTCAGACTTCAAAAACCTCCGTTAAGACTGTGAAAGAAAAGACCATTAAGGACATTAATTCAGCTCCAGAAAAACTGTGACGTGATCGATATGAGCAGAAGCAGGTGAACTCTGAGTCAAAAAGCAGATTTGTTTACTGTATTTGTATATTTGCATGAAGGCAAACAAATGGAAGTTAAAGTTAAAGCCGAGTCGTCCCGTGGTGCGTCAGTCTCTCCAGGACACGCTGCAGCGAAAACACACATTTGATAATCATGAATGTTTATTATGTATTTGTAGCCTATACTTTGTCATTTAGATATTAGGCTAATACAGCTTCAGCCCGTGGTACCTTCATAAAAGCTTTATACAAGAATGTTATTTTTTTGTGGCTCCGGACAGATGTTTTTAGTTTTTTTGTCAAATTTGGCTCTTTGAACCTTTTGGGTTGCCGACCCCTGGGTTAGACCAAATGTATTATGCGGTAGAAAATGGATGGATGGATATATATGAACCAAAATGAACCAGTAAAAGCTCTGTGTCGCTGTGACGGGGTGAGCCCGTCCCTGAGCACGCTGTCCCACGGAGCGCATGTGAAGATGCGCGCGCCCGGTGCCACGGTGGCTGCACGCAACGCCCAAACCCTTTCATTGACTACTGCTAGTATAGGGACTGTGTTTGTGACATGTAGCGTGCGTGAACGCGTCTTCAGGTCACACTTGGGAGCGTTGCATGGTGTGTTGAATCTGTTACATGTGTCATTCACTCGCCTGTGCTGGCGAGGTCGTGGCGTCTCCATGGTGCGTTTTGGCAAACCCGGACATAAGGAGCCAGTCGCTTAAGTGCACCTGTCTGTGGGTCATGTGACCACAGCTCATTTGCATGGACATTTGGACTCTTCGTAGTGTGCTCATAATTTATTTTATTGTATATGTGTCAATGTAGAATTGTAATGTGAAATCATGAACCTAAGGAAAGCGCCATGTATTGTAGATATGGTTTGTTATTAGGATGATTGATTTTGTAATGTGGGAGGGGCCGACAGGGTACATAAGGTGTGCTTGTCTGCCCCATGGCAGTCGTGCCTCATTACAGAGAAGGTAATGTGGACTGCAGGAGCTTGAGTGTAAAGCTAAGGAAAAAGAGACTTAGTGTTGAAGTTGAGTATATTTTTTTGTAAATATCCTTTTTGCCTGTAGTCTTTTCACTGTTTTTCTACTGAGAGTTTTTATTAAAAACCCTCTGAAAACGGCCCTTTCCGACCTAGCCATCTGTATTGTGAAAAGAGCCCTCACAGTCGCATTAATGTAGTAGATTTGCTGTTCTATTTCAGGCCTGAGTGAAGACAGACAGGTGCCAGTGCGGATCCAAACACTTTATACAATGGACTCATGGGAAATATCCGTGTATTCATCTATTCTTTAGTCGTGTCGTCTGACAGAGAGAGTCAGTGATATTGTTTGGAGAGATCGTTTTCAATATGGTTTCACTTTCATTGTACACTTGGTTGGACTTCGCAGAAAAAGGATATTGAAGAGGAGATGTCTGTTGTGACAGGTTCAAACCGCCCGAAGCCGTTTGGGTAGATTCCATTTAAGGATTTATGAAGCAATGCACACAACTCAAGAGTAAAGAAGTGATGAAACTAGGACATGATTTTCTTTTGTTTTTATTGCAGCATAAACACGTCCGGTTTGTCTGCTGATCTCGCTGATTTTACCTGCTGTTATTCCCACAGAGATACACAGATACTTTATCAGAATCAGAATCAGAATCATTTTTATTGCCACGTGAGTAACAAAGTTATCACTTGGAAATTGTCTTGGCAGAGAGCGTGCCACTTCGCCATTTGCGGCGCTGTGTGCAGCAAGAAACAGCAGAGAGCAATAACATACAGTTCACAGACAATTGGATAGACACATTGTGCTTTTTATAAACCACGGATTTTTTTCTCGGGATGAGCACCTCCGGCGGCCGGCCCAATGTAGCTGTCAGAGGGGGGCGGGATCAGGGAGGGGGTGAGTAGGAAAACAATAAGGAATGGAGGGCGGCACGGTGGCTGAGTGGATAGCACTCTCGCCTCTCAGCAAGAAGGTCCTGGGTTCGAATCCCGGTCGGACCAGGGCCTTTCTGAGTGGAGTTTGCATGTTCTCCCCGTGTCTGCGTAGGTTTCCTCCGGGTACTCCGGTTTCCCCTACCACTAAAAATATGTCCAATAGTTCTGGCATGCGCTTCCTGTACTGGCGACTTTGTGTGGAGTGAGAGACAATTGCCAAAATTAACAATTGTAAACCGCTTTGAGACTCAGATCTGCAGTGAAAAGGCGGTATATAAATAAAAAAAAACTTAAATGGAGGGGAGGGAGGGAGCAAGATGGATAGGTAGAGGGAGGCGGGGGTGAGGGATCCTTGCTGGAGACTGAAATAGTGTGAGTTGTTGTAGATTGTGGGACCTTGTTTATGGCCTTGGTCGAGGAATGTGAGATAAGAGTGGAGAGAAGACACAGCAGGAGAAAAACACATCGCCTGAGAGGGACAATATTATATGCAATGTAGCATCAAAAGCAGGCAGATATTCTATAATTCCAATTAAACCGAATTAGGGCGACACGGTGGCTGAGTGGATAGCACTCTCGCCTCTCAGCAAGAAGGTCCTGGGTTCGAATCCCGGTCGGACCAGGGCCTTTCTGAGTGGAGTTTGCATGTTCTCCCCGTGTCTGCGTAGGTTTCCTCCGGGTACTCCGGTTTCCCCTACCACTAAAAATATGTCCAATAGTTCTAGCATGCGCCTCTTGTACTGGCGACCCCACTCCCATCTCTGTGTGGAGTGAGAGACAAATGCCCAAAATTAACAATTGTAAACCGCTTTGAGACTCAGATCTGCAGTGAAAAGGCGGTATATAAATAAAAACTTACTTACTTACTAATTACGGCGCCCTCAGACCTCCGTACACAGGGGCAAATCCAAGCCGGGTCAGAGAGTTCAAGCCTGACAAACAATGTCATTCAATCTCAATTCCAGAGTTTTATGCCCATCGAGTGAACGAGCTGCGAGATCTTTGATCAACTGTTCCACTAAAACCACTCTCCTTTGTCCAGACACGGCACTCTCAACCACGACACGGCTTAGCTCCTTGTACATCCCATCAATTTTGTCGGGCCGGGAGCTCGTGAATCATGCGAACTGCCATGCCACCGAATTTGTGGTAGAACAGGATCGCTCCAAACCCAAACAGGAGGATTCCCACCACCAAAATGCCAAAGATATATACGTCTTCCGAATCTTCAATGGACAGGGTCGACAGACAGAGGGGCTGAAACTTGTTCCAGCTGTCAAGCGTATACCCCGCCGGTGAAGTCCCGTCCGGGCACACGGGCTCTCCAGACCCACGCTTACGTGTTGAAAAGATAGAATCAATTGCGTTGAGGGACCAGTTAATCATTTCCATTCTGTTAAGTTGTCTGTGGCAAAATTCCAGGAAAAAAGACAAAACAGGAGATAGCAAGCCGTTCAGAAGCAGGAGCGGACTAAGACACGTCTTTGCTCGACGGAGGAGGAAGGGGTTAAGAGAGAAGATCTGGAGAGAGGTCCCCAGACGCTCTGACAAAGTGGCCCTTGTGGCATTGGGAGGATAAGTCAACTACAGCGGACAGATTTCCCTTTGGGTTCAATAAAGTTAAAAGACATCATTCGCTGGCATTGCTCACAAATGATGTCTCTGCAGCAAATTTCAGGCCAAAAGAAGCTTGTAGTGGAGGGAGGCACTTAATACCTCATTAAAGCTGAGTTTAAATAAATGAGCATCCAATTCCATGGCACTTATTTGGGGATTTTCACATCTCAGATAATCAGGCCGACTTAAGTGTGTACCACAGTTCACTTCAATTGGTCTGAAAGCACTTTGTCTCCCAGCGGTGCTTCCACGATTTGGTAAAGTCGAGAATTTTCAACAATCGATTTAAAATGATCCCCGCCATTTATGCTCTCCACTCTCCATCTCGTTCTTACTCTTTTATGACTCCATTTGTAGCTCCAATACCTTTCTCTTTCTCCCCTTTAGTCATCCACCCTACATATCCCCCAACTGCTCTCTCCTCTTTCTCTGTCCCGCCTTCCCTCTCTCCCTGTCACTCATCCTCCTCACTCTAATTGTCAGCGAAACAACTCAAGTGGGCCGTGACCTCTGTCAGCTGTTTCGCTCCGTCACTGTTTGTCTTGAACTAACATCATGATAACGTTGTAAAGACGACAGCGGCCTGGCCCCTCGCCTTTCATCCATCGGACATATTCTGTTTGCGGTGCGCATTTAAATACAACTTAACCTTTACTTCAGGCAATCCCTTCTGGGTTTTGTGTGGAAACGAGATCCCCAAGGCTTGGTAATGTACAGTATGATTGAATTAGGGGCTGTTAAATGCGAATGCAAGGTTTTTTATTCACGAGGGGCTGCAGTACCTCCGGCTACAGTCATAATATCAGCGTGGAGTGCCTCGTGGACTATGGACTGTGACACGGCAAAAGGTCAATTTAAATCGCTCCGCCGCACACGCTTGTCAATCACTGTTAGAGGAAATGTCTCGCACAGCTCGACATGCATCCACCACGTCAGCTGCTTTCATCGTGACTGCCAAATGGAAAATGAAGTCTTACCTGCAGCAAGGAGCGATGGATCAAATGGTAGTTTTGTAGTTGTGACAAACGGCAAATGCAAAACAAAGTAATAAAATACATGCAAATGGTTCCCTGCTCTCTCATCACACTGTGGTTTGAGTTGGTTTTCACACACATGTATTTATGCCTCGGTCACATCTGCCTCTGGTCAGATCTGCCTCTGGTCAGATCTGCTTTTTCAGATGCGAAAGGGGAAAAAAAAATACTGTATTGGGACACCCTTGCACTCGCGCGGGCACGCGCAAACGCTAGGGCAAGTGTGCTTTTTAAGGGCAAGGGCGAGAATTGGGACGGGGCCTTATTTGTATAGCACTGTTCATACTCAAGGAAACTCAATGCACTGAAAACAAAACCAGATAGAAACAATTGAACAAGGCATAAAAAAATCACAGTATACATTCATAAAAGGAAAAATATAATCCGTCAGTGGTATGCACGGCTGAAAAGAACTGTTTTTATTCTGAATTTGAACATTGTCAGGGAGGAAGCCTGTCTCACATCTTCAGGAAGATTGTTACAGATTTTAGATGCATTCAAATGCTGCCTCCCTGCTGGTTCTGACTCTGGGTCCAGCAGGAGGCCAGCCCCTGTGCTCCTCAGAGTCCCAGCAGGAGACCAGTCCCTGTGCTCCTCAGAGTCCCAGCAGGAGACCAGTCCCTGTGCTCCTCAGAGTCCCAGCAGGAGACCAGTCCCTGTGCTCCTCAGAGTCCCAGCAGGAGACCAGTCCCTGTGCTCCTCAGAGTCCCAGCAGGAGACCAGTCCCGAAGCTCGAGAGTCCGAGTTGGTTCATACATATCTAGAATTCACTTTGATACATCTCAGACTTAGGGCATCTTCTCAGCGGGCTCTTTCACAGATTCGTATTTGTTATAGAAATAAACAAAATGTATTATTTATAACCATCCATCCATCCATCCATTTTCTTCCCCTTAATCCATTTCTGGGTCAGGGGGGTGGCAGTCAGAGCTGCACCCAGTACACAGAGCACCAGCCCCTCACTGGTCCTCCTGCAGGTGGTGAGTCCACAGGAGCTGAGATCTTTCAGTTGGGGCTTTGGGCAAAGTAGGGTTAAGTGTCTTGCCCAAGGACACAACGACAGCAGTCATCAGTGGGAGTCGTGAAGTAGGTCTTACGGTGGGCTCGAACCCACGACCTTCAGGCCCAAAGGCCAATGCTCTACCAACTGAGCTACTGTCGCCCTTATTTATAACCAAGAAGAGAAATAGAGAGTTACACCACCGTAACAGCGCCTCAATAAATCCATCTCTCTAGTTGCATAAGACTGTGGAACATTCCAGACAAGACATTAACATTAAAGGGGCGTTAAAATTAAAAAGGTGTTAAAAGGCCTTAAAGGGACAGATGTCGCAAATTAGCCACAGCTAGTGTATAAAAAAATCAGTCATAAAATAGAATAAATAAACATGCACATGGTATATATGCATCAAACTTGGCATAATGAAGAAATAACGTCAACGTAAAAATGTCTACTACAGATTTTAGGATTTAGATTTTTTTTAAAGATGTTTTATTGTCCTGAGAAAAAAATAGATCTAATTTTTCTCTACAGCCTCCAGCCCTCAGTGACACAGTAGATTAGATTAGTTAAAAGTGTAAAATGTCTCGCTCCATCCCTCTCCCTGTTCCCAGCTGCCACACAGTCCGCTGGAGTGACTGAAGTAATGGGGCCTGTGGGTGTTGTAGAGTTACAGTGCTTCCTTTTAAGAGTGCGGAGGCAGCCAATATTTCAGACACCAGACAACTAGATAAAAGCAATCAATGTGAGAAAGGCCCTGACCAAAACAACGGAGACATGACCACCCAGCACACGCCAGCTCCCACGGCGCCGGGCAACAAGCGGGACTTATGGACCCATCGAAGCAGGCGTGTAAAAAACTCAGGCTCAGGCTAAATCCAGCCCGCGAGCCGATCTTTACAATGGCCCCCGAAATGATTCTTGATTATCTTTATCGCCATCGCCTCAGCATTCAGTCATTTTAAAGCCTATTGTGTGGGTTAGGGTTGTGGAAAACTATCATATAATTGTATCTGTCTAAAATGCAGACTTAATCCTAATAAGAAGTCATAGTTATTTCATTTTAGATTTTTTCCAATATATCTCATACTGATATTTGGCCCGGTTGTTGTTGAATCCCATCCATAGAAAATAATGTCCAAACTCGTGTCAAATACAGTTCATTTGTCTAGAGCAAAACAACTTTTCTAACCACTTTTATTCTTCTGGCCCAAACCAGTTATTAAAGCTGCATTACCTGACTTTATTTTTGCATTAATTACGAAAATTCAATCCATATCCATCCTGTGCATTGGGAAATTCGTCCTTTTGAAGAATAAGTAGCACTGGTTTGTGCTAGAGTGTCATTTTATTTTAGATTGAGTTTTTGTGCCACAAGGAAGAGAATTTGTTTTGGGACTAGATTGTGACCAATCACAGCGGACCACCGCCCCCCACTGCTTACTCAGAGAAACATCCATCCAAAAGAAAGTCTTGTTCCTCCACGCTTCCCGGTTCTATCATTCTATGGTCACGCCATCCACGTTCAGATGTGTGCGATCCATATTGTGAGACGCCAGCTCCGAATACAAATTAGCATCTGAGCACCATGGTGAGCACCGGCTGAGGGGGAGGGGGGTAGTGGGGGGCGAGCAGATAGAGCAAGTCCAGGGCTCTTATTCCAACATTTCTCAAAGTCAGTTAGTGCAGCTTTAAGGTTTTACATTTGACTCCCGACCAAAATGACTTTGACACCCCTGCCATAGAGTACACCACTTTTTCAACTATTAGTTCATTTAAAACATGTAATTCATTCGTTCGGTTCATTTTCATCCCTCCATTATCTGTGTCTGGGTTAGAGGAGCTGCCACCCAATTCACAAAGCACCAACTACCACAAGTTCCTAGCTCTTATAAACATGTGACTTCTATCACTGGTCATGGTGCAGCTAAAACCTGAAACAATCTTCCTGAAAATGTGAGACAGGCCTCCTCTTTGACAATGTTTAAATCCAGGTTAATCCAAGTTTTGTTCAGCTGTGCATACAACTGAGATCTTTTATATTTGTATATACCCACTGTGATTATTTTCTTATGTTAAGGCCATGTGTGATGTGTTTTTAGCCTGAATTTATTTAGCCTTTGTTCCATCTTTCGATCAGCTTTCTCAGACAGACCCCCCTCACTCAGTCAAATAATACCTCACAAGGCTCTTTCTTACAAGTTTGCGAAATATTTTTTAATAAGCGGAAAGCAGCATGTTGTGGGCTGATTTATTCACAAAGCTGTAAAAACAAATGACTAGGGGAACAAGAATAACCACACAATACTAAAATGATCAAACTAGACGCTATTAGTGCAGAATAATTCATGTGGTCAAGCTGCGTAGGGAGTCAGTTTTCTGGAAGAAGTGTGGTAACTTGAGCACTGTCCTCTCCTCCTTCCTGCTCTCTCCGTCTGCATTGTTCATTGCTATTCACCCGTTGTCCCATTGTCTGTTTGATGGCGCGACAACGGGACCTCTGAACCGGCCCTCTCCATCTACACCTGTGGACCGCCCTGCCCGACCTGCCTGGGACCGCTTCAGTCCTGCACCTGTTTGCATTATTAAGATTTTGACTGTAGTCTGTACATTGCTATTCACCCGTTGTCCCATTGTCTGTTTGATGGCGCGACAACGGGACCTCTGAACCGGCCCTCTCCATCTAAGTCTCTGAGATGACTTCTGTTGTGATTTAGGGCTATACAAGAATAAGGTTTTTGGTTCTGCTTCATATTCTGAACACATATGCTATAGATCCAGACAGAAAATAGTCAGCGTTTAACCTGACTCTCAAACCCAGACCTGTGCAAACCAAGGCCAGTCTGAGTAGTCTTTGAGATCATAAACACAGTGACCACAGTGTCATACAGCCAACTTCAGCACAGCCAATATTTTGTATATACTGACATCTGAGGAGTTGATCAATGGGAAGGCCTCCCTACGACTCCAGAACTGCTAAAGCCTTGTTTTTTCTAAGTATAAGTAAAACATTATGGAGAAGGATTGAACATTTTAACACTTTTTTTGCACTAAATAATAATAATACACACTTTAATTCTGTTTTAATTGTAAAATGTATAAAATCTTTGACAACCTGTGACCTCGGCTAAGATATAAAGTTCATAATGGCCGAAACCACTACTACTACTACTACTACTACTACTCATCCAGCCAACTTCAGCTCCGTAATAATAATAATAATAATAAGATCAATAATGGATTAGATACTTAAGGTTGCATTACATCACATGCAAAAAGTACATTTAGTTAAAACACAAGTTAAAATACAAGAGCCATAGCTAATTATAAAGCTCAGATTCACAGCCTGTAAAAACG